TAATGCAATACAAGTTGCCTTTTGTCTAATTTGTGTGCACTCTTGTTTCCTTTTGTGTGTTGTTGCTTGCATTTATAGGCTTTCTCGACCCCAATCGAGCGCCGCACGGGGCCCCGTCGATTAGCCCCGTGACATTCAGGCAAGAACGGATGGAATTCAATGGATGTAAGGGGCCAGTATTTACATTTCATTCCATTTGAAACTGGAATGAGTGCTTGACTAAAAGGTGGTTAATGTTGGAAAGGATGGGCTAATAGACATGACTAAGGGAACAGGCTTAGGAACTCATGGTATCACCTATTAACAGAAGATTGATAAAGAAAATTAGATGACACTGAAAAGACATTTGTGTATATTTAATGGTGAGTTAACGTTATGTATTAAATCGTCGCAAAATGAACTATATTGTTATGTTTTAAAGCTCAAGTACTAAATTGACACTTAACATAAAGTACAGGATACTTATCGGGATAAAATTTTCAAATCGGTAGTTTAGTAAATTAACTTCTGCCGCACCCAGCTTCAAAGGGAGGGGGTTTTTATTTAAATTTCAAAGTTTAGGAATCTTTGTCGCAAATGAAAGTTCAGTGGTGATTGCCACTGCCCGGGAAGGAGTAGTAATCTCTGTAATTTACCCTTGTTTTTACAAGTAACCTCGTACTCATTACTCAGCCAAATTCACATGGATTTGAAAGGTTGTAAATAGATTGTATTAATCTCATTTAAATTCGAATTCTATTCGTATATCCGTTAATTGAGCAAGAATCTGAATCTGATTAATAAACCTGATCTTATGTAGGGAACAGTGGATTTCTCCTTTCAGAGTCCTCGACGTTTGAGGATGCCTTCTATCACTTTGACATGTCTTCCGTCGGTTGGATACGTGCCACACGCGGATAACATGTTCGATGAAATGCCTGAAAGGTACAAATTCTAAAACTTTAAGTGGAATTCAGTAGTTCATACCACTATCAAATTCTAGTTTCTCTTCTTTCATTGAACCTATGCTAAGTATGCTAGTTTAAATACTAACTAGAAAAATGTGCCAACCAACAGGAACCATTGATTGGGAGAAAGCATCATCGTAATTTTGGTAAAGAGAGAATTTTTAAAGCAAAAAGAGAAGAAGATGAAAATTTTCAGTGCTATCCATCGGTGCAGCGACTTTACAAGAAGAAAAGCTCTAATTTCTGCGACTACTGGAGCATGGAAGAAATTGGGGTTCAGGCGAGGGGTTTCTACCTACTCTGAGGATTTGGAGTTGAAGGAATTCTTAGATTACTTGGAGAACCTAAAAAATTATGAGAAATCTGGCGTGCCCAAAGGGGCGGGAACTGATTCAGAAGACGGGTTTGATCTCGGGAGAATGAACCGGTTGATGGAACGACTAGGAAATCCTCAGTCCAAATTCAAGGTGTGTCTTCTGGTTTAATGTTTCCTCTGATAAATTTGAATTTTTAACTAGAACTCTGGTTGAGAGGGAAGTACCAAACCAAGCAAGTAAATATTACGATTACATTGAACTACTTGCATCTAAGCTTGTGCCTTAGTCTCATGTCTAATGAGCAACATTGGAAACCTTGTAACATGAATTGCCCCGTTCAACTGAGTCATTGAATTATGGTGAACTGAGATAATTTTCTTCTGGAAAACAACATTTTCTCATGAAGGGCTGGACCCTGAATCAATTATAGATGATGACTGGCTATGGGATACGTAATCCTCTAGGTTCATATGCTTAATGCTTGACTCTACTATTTCTACCAATAAGTTTGACCAGTTGTATGAAGCTCAATTAGTTAGTTGAAGGGAAAAGAGAAGAAAGAAATAACAATGCAATTAAGTTGGTTGTAATGATCATCTATCCATGAAATGGGTCATTTAAACTAAATTGTGACCTTGAAATATAAGTGAACATCTTATTATTTCCAAGCGCTATTCTCTTTAACATTATTACTAATTTTCGAGCTTTTACTTTGCAGAAAAACCAATTGAACCAGCCTTTGTCCTGTAGGTCTGCAGTTGTAGTTTACTGTTTCCTTCTCTATAAAGTTTACGTCCATGGTTTTAATGATGGTGTTTCTAAATTAACCATATATGCATTATTGTAGCTTTTTGTATATTGATATGGATATATATATATATATATATAAGTCACAAGTATGTATTATTGTTAGGCTGTGCACATTGCTGGAACTAAGGGAAAAGGATCAACTGCTGCATTCCTTTCCAACATGTTACGGGAAGAAGGATATTCTGTTGGTTGTTATACTAGGTATGATAGTAATGGTATTGTGCATTTAATTTATATAGTTTCTTATAAAGGAAAATCGTAATTCTTTTTTCATAATGTAAACCATAGATTTTTCATTCTTTATACAGCCCACATCTGTGGAGTATCAGGGAGCGCATTTCAGTTGGTAGAAAAAGTGACCCAGTCTCAGCAAAGGCATTGAATAGTGTTTTCCATTGGGCTAAAGAGATTCTAGACCAATCAATGGAGCTAGAAAATGGATCCATCAGCCATTTTGAGGTATTGATTGGTGAGAGACAATAATGTATATCAGTGTCAAATTTCCATGTCATTTTGTCTTTGTGTATTGTTTGATAAAAGGGAGAAATTCATACTAACAAAGCTGAATGACTTACCTCCCCCAGCAGTTTCAGGAAGTGTTTCATCAATTATGAGATGTGGAAACATATACATCATCTATACTGTATTTTTTATTGCTAAGAGACAACAGAGAACATTCAATATACTCAGCTGTATTAGAAAATGATTCCCCAAGATGGAACTTTGTATAAGTAAATGAGAGAAGTGGCTAGAAAGGGCTAGGCCAATATCAAGGGAACTGGGCATATTGCCACTTGTACAATATCATCTTTATTCTTTTACATCTATTTAATAAAATTTAATTTAATTGCCAACTGAGGGGTGGCTCAGTTGGTATGTAGCTGGTTTGTTCCAGCAGAGAAGGGGATTTGAATCCCACTACCACCAAATTTGGGGGGAGGGTGTTATAAGTATGGTGCTACACTACTCAAAATGGCCTCTATGGGTGATTTGAGCCTATAACTATACGTTGGAAAAAATTAAAATTTAATTGTTATAGACCAAACATAAAACAAACACAAATGAACACAAGCTAAAATTGTCATTCTCATTTTAGAGTTGAGAGACAGGTTATACAAGAGCAAATAAGGTTGCATAAAGAATCCCAAAAAATAGGTTCTGCTAAACAACTTAACAGCCTAGGTTTTCAAATACTTTATTGAATGGAACTAAGCTAATCAACCATGTTAATAGTTTTTTACCATTCTGTATTATCTCATTTCAGACAAGCATGGAGCCATGGACTTGGTTCAGATTCATCCATAAGGCTTATTTCTGATTCAAGCTAACTAAAAACTTTTATCTGTCTCCTCTTTTGACATTCATTCATTTGGTTAGATCTTGTCACATGGGTACCAATACAGTGTGAGAATCTGACATAGTGACAGAGTATCAAACTTGGCAAGCTCAAACACACACACACACACACACACCAAAAAGAATATAGAGATTTGACTGCTACACTTTTGTTTCAAGTTACATTCTTAATATATATTTATATTATATAAATAATGAGGGATAATTGTTAAAAATAGAAAAACAAATATAGATGCATAAATAAATGCAAATATATCATACATTACAAGTTTATAGTTCATGCCAAAAATCTACCATAAGAGTTTGAGTTTCTTTAGTCACATATTACGGATGTGAAAAAGAAAAGAGTGAGTCCCCTCAAGTGTCGTGTTGGTGTTGGCATCCACATGTATTTGACATGGGGCACAGTATCCGTTTAAGTGTCCATGTAACATTGGTTAGAATAAGAGACTTTTTTTTTTTTTTATCAGCAACATGCAAATTTTATTAATTAACTTAGAACAAGATACTTTTCTTTTGACCTTTCCCTTTTCTTTTGTTATGCATGTTTTTATTGCCCCCTTACAGTTTTCATATATTCTATTATTTGTTTTACTTGCATTGCACTTACTTATAGAGAATTTGCAGGTTTTCACTGCTCTGGCATTTACTCTATTTGCTCAAGAGAAAGTTGATATTGCAGTTGTTGAGGTTAAGTACTTTCATGCTCCTGCCTACCCTGTGTGATATACTTCCTTCATACAAGTAACTTTGCTTCATCTCTTTGACTTGTGATTCATCGTGTGACCCTCTTGTTGTGAACTTGTGATGTCCTTGCTTTAAGTATACATATGATACATTAACCATGACATTACACTAATGATTATTTCTTTGTGAAAACAACCTGTGAATCAACACTGTAGTAAGGAATGCTTAACTTTTTACAAACTATTTTCTCTGCCACAGGCTGGGTTAGGGGGAGCACGAGATGCAACAAATGTATTTTGTTCCTCTGGGCTTGCTGCAGCCATTATAACAACAATTGGAGAAGAACATTTAGCTGCACTTGGAGGTTCATTAGAAAGCATTGCAATGGCAAAATCAGGAATCATCAAACATGGCTGCCCAGTTAAGTGGTCTCACCAATTATATCTTTAACACATTCATTTGAATTTCATCCTACTTAAAATGTTGGGACTCTCAAGCAGTGTTTTAAAAGGCATGGGAGGTGTATACCTAGAGGCGCGCCTCCAGGCAAGATGCCCCCAAAATGCCCTAAGGCGTATACCAAAGTCGTTGACACCTCTGAGGCGTATGCCTCATTAGCTTTTTTCATGAGGCATGCTAGAGGTGTACGCCTCGTGCACACCTCATGTAAAAAGACAGAAAAAGAAAAGAAAAAAGAAAGAAAAAAAGGAAAGGAAAAGAAAAGAAAGGGAAGGGAAGGAAAAGAAAAAGAAAGAAAGAGAAGAAAAAAACGGAGAAAAAGAAAGAAAAGAAAAGGAAAAGGAAGGGAAGGAAAGAAAAGATAAGGGGAAAGAAAGTAGGCCGGGGCTAAGCCCCCGGGCTGCCCCCCAGCCCTGCTCCGGCTTGCTCACCTCCGCTTCGACAAGACCCCCCTTTCAACTAGTGCTATGCATCTTCAATATTTCTTAATATAAAAGATTTTTATTAAAAATAAAAAAAAATGAGATCAACCTTCCTCTTCTTTCTCCTCATCCCCCCCCCCCTCCTCTTAAGGAGGCTTATGCCCCTTACATTCTGAACTACGCCTCACGCCTCTAGATAGTGGAATGCCGTTGCATTTTAAAACATGGCTCTCAAGTTTCTGATTATGTTAGGCTTGCAATTTTGTTCATATTTAACTCTTCAAAAATGTTAACGTTCTTGTTTATTTATTTGTGTGACCGGATACATGGAGTGACACATTGCTCTTTTATGGGGGTGTCTGGCAATGTGGTTGTGTTGGTTTCCATTACTTTATGAAATTGCCATATTTGCAAAAACATAATTCGGCTTTCAGCAATGTTGTTCTTGTTTTCTTATTAAAAAAAATTGGAAATTATTTCAAAAAAAACACCCCTCTTTTAGGAAAATATACAAAAGAAAAAAGAAAAAAGAAAGCATTGCAGTATGCATGAATACAGCAAATTCATACATTATGAATGGATCATACCAAGCAGATTTTCTCATTCAGATAATCCTAACCATTTGATCCATTTCATATTTTAAATGGTTATACATATAGATATAGAGAAAATGAGAAACATCCCAGATCAGGTGAAGATAACATGTATGATGGTCATATCTAATGGAAAAAGGTTCAATCCCAATCCATTTTACTGTGTTTGAACTGAATTAGATCTGGGTCACATTCAAACCTTGGGGGCTCATAACTAGATGTTGATTGGATATGGAACCATGGATTTGAGAATGGCCTCTTGATATATATCAACAGGAATAAGCGAAAGTAAAGTTAATATTTACCAATCTTGTTTGTATATGATGCATGGGTTGTATCCTCCAGGGTATACCTACATATGGTATGGTCATTTCCCACCACATCATCTGTTCCATATGTAAACTTTGTTATTGGTAAGTTATCCTGATATATCTACCTGACCTCACCATAGAATCTTTTCCATTTTTTTGATAATTAACAGTAAGTTTCATTAAGGATAGAATAATTGATCACCCCATAGGGGCTCATACATCAGAAGAAAAAGGAAAAACTGAAAGTAAACATTCATCCCTTACAGATTACAGCCCAGCCCTGGGCAAACCCATTCAAGAACATCTCTCCCCATCCCAGCTCTTGCCAGAGAATCTGCCAAGACTTTAGCACTCCTACGCACCCAGTTGAATGAGGAATTCAAAGATCCACTTAGGGCTTGAGCCAGTCTCACTAGAGGTCTGATTTTCCAAGGACTTTGGTCTTGTGATTTCATCCAGCAGATAATGGTTTGACAATTCCCTTCCACTTCCTCATTTCTCAATCCCTTGCATATTCAAAAGCTTTAGGCCTTGAATTAGAGCCAATAACTCAGCTCTTTTTTGATAAATGGTGTAATTGTATTTCTATTAATGTGTGGTAAAAAGGGCAAAAAAACCCTGCTTTACAAAAGAGTATAGAGATATATACTCAAGAGAAAGCCAAAAAGAATTTAAGCCACACCCCTCATTGGACCGAAGGTATACGAAACTAAGCCCTTTGAACTGTGGAGAAGCCTGAGCCCAAAAACTCAAGTACCATTCTGCCTTCTGAAGGAGTTCCCTTGCCCAACCGACCCTGAATAGCTGAGAATAATGTTGCCTTTAACATCCCTAACCACACACCCCTACACCAGAATCCCCTGGATTTCCCAAACAGCACCCATCAAAATTAAGTTTAATAGCCTCATTGAAGGAGGAGACCATTCTATCATACAACTCATTTAGAACAGCCCCTCGTACACTGATAGATTCCATGTTTATCATTCCTAATGCATGGAAATATGTTTCAGAGTCACATAAATTCTACTTGTCTCTTATTTTCCCTCTCACAATATGTCATTATCATGTTACAATGTTCTTATCTCCTTCATTGTGTAATATTTATATTGACTATTGCTAGGTGTTTAAACTTTTCAGTTAGTGCTAGGTGGACCTTTCAACCCTCACATCGAATGCATTCTTCGTGATAAAGCATCTTCAATGGATTCACCTGTTGTGTCAGCATTTGATCCTGGAAATCTAAGCAGAATAAAAGGCTTTGAAATAAACAAAGAAAAGCCTTGTCAATTATGTGACATAGTTGTTCAAATTGAGAAGGATATGCAATTGGTATGTGCTTGAAGCATTATTTTATTGGTAGCTTAACTTGCCATGATATTGAAGTTTTCGCCATGAATATCACCACCCATTTAGGGTCTAGTCTTTTCTTAAGAGTGTTTAAGAGTGTCATAAATCTTTTCATCCAGTTTATTGAATTATATGATGTGAGACTACACATGCTTGGAACTCACCAACTTCAGAATGCTGTTACTGCCACTTGTGCAGCACTTTGTCTGCGTAATCAAGGTCAGGACTTTCATCTGTTTTTTATTTTTGTATTTTTTTTTTTACAATTTCATGTTTGTATTAAGCCTTTTATGTTCCAGTAAAAAGTTCTCTGTTTCTAAAGTAAGGTCACTGATTTAACTTGTTTGGTAAGGATTTGGATCTGCAGGAGAAATAGGCCCTTGGCACTTAGCCTTCCTTTTTTTTTTGTCTGTCCATGGAGATATAAGGGGATCCTCCTCTTACATTCTCTCCTTATAACCTAGTTAGTTGCCATTAACATGCAAGGAGGAATGAATCAGTTGAAGTTATAGTTAATTTGAGTTTTACATACTTGAGTCTACCATGTTCTAACACATCTCTGTATGCTCTAGGGTGGAGAATATCTGATGAATCGATTCATGCTGGTTTACAGCATACATTTTTGCCTGGAAGAAGCCAATTTCTAGCGTCCAAGGAATCTGAGTCACTTGGGATATATGGAGCTACAATATTGCTTGATGGAGGTCTACTTAGTATTTTTCTTTTCTTGTTTCTATTGTCCAAAACTATCCAATATTTGATGCCTAGCTTGTTACTATCTGGTTGTCAATTAATCCATTTACCTATATGAGTACTAAAACTTTTGTGCAAGACCCCAGACCCTTAATGTACAACAGAATTGGTTTTAATTGCACAGTTAAAAACTTGTTAAACCATCTGGCTTACCATCTAAACTCACCAAACTGGAACTATTTTTTTTATCAATAACAGAAACTTTTATTAATAAAAGAAGATGGAAAAGATACAACAGGAAAGGGGGTAAAAACTCTTACCCCACCCTAAAAGTAAAACATCACATTACAACACAGCCCAAAAGAAACTAGCTCTTCCCACCCCTTGTTTGGCTAAATAGTCTGCAAAAGAATTGGCACTCCTCTTGGACCACTAAAACTGAATTTGCATGTCTTGAGTGAGCTGGTAAATTTTCCTTTTTTCATTAGAGAACTTCCACAAACTAACATCTTCCTTTTGTAGCCAGTTAATAACCAATCTAGAATCACCCTCCACCAGAAGCTTCCTAATATTCAGCTGTTTGGCTCTTTTTATTCCTCCTAATACTGCTGAAATTTCAGCTCTCAGAGAACCCCCAACCTATAGGCCCTGAAAACATGGCCATAATTCGACCTTCTTCATCCCTGAACACTCCACCTATACCTGAAGGGCCTGGGTTTCCTTCACTTCTGCCATCAAAATTCAATTTAGTGAACCCCAAAGTTGGAGGAGACCAAGTTGGAACAGGGGAATTAATCAACTGAGCGGACCAGGCTACTTCTTTCCAATTTCTAATGATATCTCCTGCTGAGAACCCTTCAAATAGCTTCATAGACTTGACCCAATGAACCACCCTAACATAGATTAAATCAATGATGGCTTCTTTGTTCTTTTCTTTTTCCTGGAAAGTTTGTTGATTTCTTTCCTCCCACTGTCCAGCATACAGCTGCTCTTACACATCTCCACAAGATCTTACCTCTCATTTTTAAACCCCTCACTGGAGTAGAGTTAAACAAGCTTTGCACACTTGGGGGGGTGGGCCACCTGTAACCAAAAAGAGAGAAAAACCAACACCAGATTTCTGATACAAAAAGACAGGAAACTAATAAGTGATAACAACTCTCACCATTCTTCTTACATAAGATACACCAATGCAGGGATAAACACCAACTTGGCCTTTTCTTTTGGAGTAAGTCACAAGTGTTACACTTTCCTAGGATTGCTTCCCAGCAAAAGGCACCTACTCTAGGAGGAATTTGTCTACCTCAAACTTCCGAAACCGGGAAAGGAAAATCAAGGGCCGAATGGGAATGGGTTAATTCCTTGAAAAAAGAAGAGCATGAAAAGATACCCGAGGGAGTAGGAGCCCAAAAAGAAGAGCATGAAAAGTAAGTCACAACTGGAACTATTTTTTGGCTAGTGCTTATTTTATGGTTTGCTGATATTATTCAGTTGGCTGGCTTAGCCTGCCACTGAACTAATGAACCAACTAAATTGTTAGTCCTGGATTTTAGGCCCTTGCAAAAAATAGTAGAAAACCTTATGTTGCAGAAAAACCCAAGAAAACAGATTCAAAATGGCACTCAAATGAAAATAAAACAGAGATAAAGAGAAAACAAGCACAGAGAACACACAGATTTACATGGTTCGGCTTATAGCCTACGTCCACGGGTGAAGGAGGAACAGAAATCCACTATGTAGTAGGTAATGGAGAAGAAATACAGAGTTGTGCTCTCACAGAAAACCCTAAGCCCCAAATACACCCAATGTCTCACTCTTCTCTCACGAGACTCAGACCTTTGTATACAAGAGAGAAAACCCCCGAAATACATGACTCTTCGTAGTCAGTTCGGATCTATAAGATGAATATGGGTCGGGTCCATAAGCGGATTCATGAAGCGGGTCGCCACAAAGAATTCAAGGCACAAACATAATACCTTAGATTATTTTTATAGTTAAGTCATCTGATTTGATATTTGACATTGGTATCCTAATTACTTTTCTCCCTTGCATGATCATGATGTTTCTTCTAGACTTTGCTTTGTGGTCCTGCTTGATACTTTATTTTTTGTTGGCAGCTCATACGAAAGAATCTGCTAAAAGTTTGGCAGACACCATTCAGATGACATATCCAGATGCACCAGCGGTTCTTGTGGTAGCAATGGCAAGTGACAAAGACCATTTAGCTTTTGCAAGAGAATTTCTTACAGGTGTTGCCACCCTTTTATATTTTTTCTATATATTTTGTTCTATTTAGATATCATAGATTCCATTCTGGGTAGTGGTGATTTATTGGCAACTTTAAACATTTTCCCTTCCATATGAAATCAGGCAACTAGAATAACAGAAATAAGAAACCATGTAGCCATATAGAAAACTTAAACCATAATATTTAACCGTGCAATTCCTGACTTTGAATGTTTCAACTATCTCTAAGAACAAATTTGTTCATATACATGGAAGATTGGGAGGCAAGTAGGAATCAGGATCAACACTTAAATTGGTTCTGTTGAAGATATATGAAGGGCTATAATCATACAATTGAGCTAACCTAATACAATTAAGTTTTCTTTACTCCTTTTTTTATGGATAAAGTTTTCCTTTCCTCCCTACTACCCCCCTCCCTCCCCCCCCCCCCCAAAAAAAAAAAATCCTTCCTCCCTGAGTAGGGATGGCAACTGATAGAGTACCCGCGAAAATTTCCATTCCCGTTCCCAAATCCACCTAAGCACCCTTGGTCCCAAACACATATAACTTTTCCTCCCAATTTTATGTGATAGGCGAGTACCACTTAGATTAAACAGAAAATTCTATAAAACAATTGTAAGGCCAGCTATGTTGTATGGAACAGAGTGTTGGGCAGTCGATAAAAACATGTCCAGAAAATGAGTGTGGTAGAAATGCAAATGCTAAGATAGATGAATGGAAAAACTAGAAAGGATAGGATTAGGAATGAAGTTATTTGTAGGAACCTAGGAGTAGCTCCAATAGGTGGTAAAATGAGAGAGAGAGAGAGAGAGTAGACTAAGTTGGTTTGGGCACATGCATAGAAGACCAATTGTACCAATTAGAAAATGTAATTTGATACACATTGGAGGGGCTAGAAGAGCTTGGGATAGACCAAAAAGGACATGGGTAGAAGTAGTAAGAAATAATTTAAGCACTAACAGTTTAATAGTGGATATGGATTTAAATAGAATGGATTGGTGAAACAGGATTCATGTAGCCTGCCCCATATAGTTGGGATAAGGCACGGATGATGATGATAATGGGTCGGGTACCCAAAAATTCCCACGAAATTGCCATTCCTATCCTTGTGAGGAGGAAAAATCAGTATTTTAAAAAATATATATTTATAAGATAGCCAATAGTTATTTGATACTGATAACTTTGCTGTTGAAAAATCTCCTAGGAGGTTTTCTTTTGTAGATTATGGCCAACTTTAAATTTGCCTTTTGTCAAGATTATGTGCTTTAAGGACTGATTTGAGCACTTAGACACTAGAACTTTTGAGAAATATAGGTCTTGAACATTGATTCTTGATGAAACAGTTGATGCTGTTCTGAGTTTCTTTCTTTGTTGGCACAGAATTTTTATCATACAAGTAGAAGTTGAATGTTGTAGTTTTTACATCTTATTACAACACAACATTCAATTCATCTTGTGGTCAATGCTCATTGCATTTTCTTCTGAAGCATGTCCTATTTATTTTTGAACAGAAGACTAAATTTTGTCTTTCTAAACGTAAGGTATGCAACCAGAAGCTGTCATTCTTACGCAAGTGAAAATTGCTGGAGCCAAATCTAGGATGACCTCAGCTTCTTTATTAAAAGAGACATGGATCCAAGCGTTCATGGAACTGGGCATTGGATTTTCAGATATTGGAATTGGAAGCTATTCAAAATTTGTTGAGGATGAACCAGATTGCTCTGCAGGGGCATGGAAACAAAAGACTATATTGGCTATAGGTGATTCCATAGAGGACTCCTTGAAGACTGCTAATGGGATTCTCAAAGGGAGAAAGGGGAATCGACCAGGTATCATAGTAGTAACTGGCTCTTTGCATATTGTATCATCGGTATTAGCTCATCTCCATGGATGAATTTGCATCCTGCTATATTAATTCATTTCCGTACTGCTGATGGGCAATGTAATGTAGTCTATAAATTAGTAGACTGTTGTTTTTTGGCTCTTTAATAAAAGTTTATTTATACAACTAAATTTAAAAAAAAATGATAGACTGCAGCACTTACATCTTTTCAAGGGCCACAAATGTGTAGTCCTTTCCATCCACTATGGCTAGTGTGTTGCATCTAGATAGGGAGGAATGACATTTTTCTATACTTGGAATAATAAAAGAATATATATATATATATATATATATATATTTCTGGTGGAAACGAATCATTATATCCTATATTGTCTACATGATCCTCAAAGTCGTTGATTTGGACAATACTAACTGCTAAGCTCATGAACTATTTTCATATATCAACCTCTAGCCTAAGTTCAATAGTTAGCATTGCTAATAACAAGGGTTGTGAAAAAAATGGTGGACAAATGCTGATTTAGGAGATCATACTTTTATCCTGATTGAGTACTTGTTATTTTCCCTCGNAGGGGGGATTTGCTGGATTAAACGTATTACTGTTACATTGCAATGGTAACCGAGGGATTGAACTGAAAGAAAGAATTTAGAATATGACCAACCAAATGAAGTATGATAAAGATTTCGTGTTTCAAGTTTGGATATTTGGACCTTCTGGATAATATCAACTTCTGCTTCCTTGTCCTGTTCTGTACATGTGATTTTAGTCATGTCACAATGCTCATTAGGTCTGCCAAGTCGAAATAATCACGATGTTAGTTCACAAACAGTTGTTTGTGTGGTTAAAATAGCCCAACAAACCTCTTTACTTCGATGGTTTGACCACTAAGATGCCTCATATTATGGGACATGGCGCCACAATCTATTAGATTCTGCAGTTCAGCAGTTCTATAATTTATATTTGTCATAAACCTCTATGAATGCACAACAGGTGACAGATATTATAAATATAGGCATAGCCCTACACTAAGAATAGGCCAATGTGGGGTATTATTTGGAGTTCTGTTCAAGATGGTGTCAGGTCAGAATCAGTTAAGATCCTTTATGTCTAGAGGACAGGTCTGGTTCACCACTATTTAATTTAGTCCGGTCGGGTCGGATTCAGGTTAAGTCAAATTCATACCGAATTCCGACCCATTGGCATCCCTCTGTTTAGTTAAATTTCAACAACTCATTAAGAAAGAGCAAGGCTTACAAAAGAATAATAAGAGTTGGGTGTCTCATTTGTCTAGGAGACCCATTTCACATGGTTAAACTGCTGGTGGTGGCGTCATGTCAGCGCATACCAGCCGCTTTAATATAAAAATATGAGAGAGGAACAAACACAATGATATAATTATGCCTAAAGCCGATTTTTGTCCCAATTAATGTACACATGGTTGGACCCACTTAATGGTAGGCGTAGGTCTAAATCCTTTAAATTACGGGTCCTAAACTCCTTATGGAATTAAAAAACTGTAGCAGTTCAACATCTAAATCAGGTTTTCTATGTGGAAAATTTGTAGTTTTGACCACTAATGAGACCATTGTTATATCCCTTTGGAACGGGTCGGAGATCACATGAACAAGAAACCTAGGCTTTTCTGTGAAGGAAGAAAGCTCGGTCACTAACTACATATTGAGAGAGAGTTAAACCTGTGTACTCTTGCAAGGTGTTGATGGAGTTTTATTTGGAGACTGGTTGAAGTTTCAGATGGTCCTTGCCGCCCTTATTCGTGCTGCTTAAATATTAACCATAACTACTATATAGAATATTCTATAATTACAAGAACCATACCCAGAAAGGATCTGGGGTGGTTTAATCTGATTGATCAGATGGTTGACCAAGAGCAATTGTTTACTCAATTAACATGTGTCTAACGACTTACTTGGAGCATTCGATCCTGATTTAAAAAAATTGCCAGGTTCTTGTTCTTGTTCAATCAAGCTTTTGAATAGATCCAATCCCTAAAAGCCAAAACCAAGCCAACCCAACAGAGGGAGAAGGCTCTTCCCTGATTTCCGAGTTCAAGGAGCCAATTTTTTTTACTAGAACTGCACAGTATTTATAATACATCAAAACCATGAAAATTTTCTGAATTTCTCAGACAACCATATTTAATTGGGACAGTTAGAAATTAGAATATCCGTCAATGATGCTTGAATTTAAGTAACCCAGTCAGATTTCAAAGGCTTAGCTGTTTGGTCTAATATTGTTTTTAGGCAAACTCCATACCTTCTGTGGATCTAGGGAATTAATTAGCAGGAATAGTAATATACATATCCTTCATGTAGCTTGGCCATATAGGACCACACTGGACCTTAAAAACTAACTTCATTGAGATGCGCCTCTTCAATGCACTTAGGCAGAAGCCAACCTGTACTATATTAATACTAAATAAAGAAAAAAAAAGGAAATTTACATAGTTGCAGAGCTCATCTAAGACCAATTGGACACAATTTCTTCTTCGTAGATCTTGGCTTGTCTCCCAGCTGATCACTGTCTATTGGCTGTTGGGAAATGGGTTTGTCATGGAAGGCCAGTTTCAATTTTACCTTCTTTATTAAGTGCCTCTTCCACATCATGAAGGAGATGCTTTGTCAGACTCTCTTCCTTCTCTTGTGCTATGACTTTCTTCTCTTCGTTTTTTCCCCAAAGAACAGAGTACAGGCCAATCATGATGAGAATTGCCCCAATAATCCTGCAAAACAACAATACAAAAATCACAGTATAGAAGATTAATTGGATGAACGTACATTCAAAGGCTTGAAGTATCTCTACAACCTCAACCAGTGTTGGCAAATTATTAGTTCTTTTTTGTAATTAATTTTCTCTTGTCACATACCCTCCAGAGTATAATTGATCACGAAGAATCAAGGATGCCATGATTGCGACCAAGACAGTCTGCACTGGTTGGAAGACAGCAACGAAAACAGGTCCTCCTTTGTGAATACACCAGGTTTGAAGAGCAATGACAATTCCGGATGACACAACTCCCTAAGGACAAAAGAAAGATCTATGTGTTGGATTATGATGAAATCATAAAAATTTAATACAATTAGCAAACATGAGTTCATGAAGAAGAAATCAGCTTGAGTGGATTACAGCATAGAGGATGGTTAAGAGCTCCTCCTTGGAATGGATTATCCAGCGATCAGTGTCTGTTTCTACAAGGGATGCTATTACCAAGAACTGTATCAATCCGAAGAAGCACGTAAATGAAGTTAGTGAGAGCTTAGCCGGATACTTTCTCAGTACTGGAGCCTGCAAAGGATCAAAATTTCAATGTCAAGATGCGAAGATGATCATTGAAGAGAAAACCAACATTACCCAACAAAAATATTGAGACCTTAAAGAAAAGAAGAAGACAAGGTGATGAGTTCAGGGATAATAAGATAAGCTAAGCTGTAGATTTAATAGATGCAAGTGGGAATTCCGAGTTCATCCATTTTTTCATGTCAAAGTATATCTCTACATTTTTGTCTAAATACAACTACCTATTATATGAATCCTGAGATTCTGGAGCTTAAATAATTTGATCTGGACATTGATAGTTAGTGGCTGACCTGAAGTACCATCCAACCAGACCACGATAAGCAGTGCCCAAGTAGGTAAAGACAACCCAATGTCCAGTTCTGGACAGTCTTTGAAGCGACAAACGTGTTCTCTTCTATTGAATTTCCCAGTGGGTGCTCTGATAAGTGCAGAAGGGGAGGACCCTTGTAGAGAGTAATTACGGTGGCGCCTGCTACACTTAAAATGGTTCCCACCACTTTTGCCAACCCATCTCTCCTTGCAATATTAACTTGCTCAAGCCTGTCAGAGAGAGAGAGAGAGAGATGTCGAGAGAAGATTCTATCTTCAATCACAAAATATAAAATTATTGATTGGTATAAGAGCACCCACTACCTGATAACTGAAGCCATGGCAAAAGTAATTGCCGGAACTGAGTTCTGCATTGCAGATGCAAAAGTTGGAGATGCGTAATATAAACCAAGGAAATAAAAGCCTTGATTAGCAGTGATCCTGAAAGCAGAAAAAGTAGATGAGAAACGAACCAGTTTCCACTTGCCCAACAAAATAGCAATGAATTAACTAATAACAACTCATTCGAACAAACAAAAAGAAAGAAAATACATGAAGACAGATAGCAAGGTGGAAGACTCTAGCAGTATCAAAGAGGCCAAATTTATTCCACTTACCCGACTAATGCAAGAAGGAAGAATTGAACCAACAATGAGAAAGTAAGAGGCGGTCTTTCTTTCCTGAATGTCACAATCAACAATATTACTATCTTAACACCATTAACAAAAAAAAAATAAAATATTTTAGAGCATGAAAAAGCATAAAAAATGGACTCACTTCTCTAAGAAATAAGCAAAAGGTCCCAATAAGACCAGTGCAATGATGTTTCTATAAACTGGGTAAACAACTTTGCTGACACCCATGTTGAGTGCAAACCTAGAAACAATATGGAAACCCGCAAAGCAAAACTGAAGAGCGAGCAATGATAGGAGAAGCTTCATCTTCTCAGAGCTCGCACTTTCTCTTCCCATATTTCTTCCTCTACTACTTCACCTTCACAGTTTGTTTAGTTAATTTGTTTAGTGATTACAGTCGCAGAGGCAACGTATTTATATAGTTGGAGAAGCGAGAAGGAACAAATTTGCAAATAATTTGTATGGATTGATGCATGAGGGGGGCAAGGTCTGATAATTGTAATATTATATTTGTAGAGTGGAGTCATACAGTGGGCAAGAGCCTGACAAGTGTTTGCATAAACGTAAGCATTTATACATACATTATGCCATTTACGTAAATCTTTCTCTGCATGCAATCACTTGATTGTTGTCTTCGTTTTATCTTTATTCCAATTTGCTCGTTGACTTGACGATTGAATTTTGTTCGGGAGACAAGGTTGAGTTAGAGCATGTTGGCCAGGTCGTTAGAGAAAGGCCAGCCCCCTATATATATTTTGTATTTATTGGTTATGGGGGTTAATTATCAGTTATGTCCCCACCATCCCTTCATTCTATTTAATTCGTGATGTGGGTCCCTTGTCACATATTTATATAAAGGGAAAATTTTAGATTAATAATATGCTGTAATTTGGGTTTAGTGCCATTTTGGTCTCCAAACTTTAAAACTTGATAATTTAGTACTCAAATTTTTAATAAGTGCTAATCTAGTATCTGCCATTAACCATTTGTTAAGTGCCATTTGAAAAGACATAAATACCCTTCAAGTGTCATATAATTCTCTTTATCAATCATTCAAACGTTGACAAAAAATGAACCACCCAAAATCTTTGCCTCTTCTATTCAAGAAAGTTGGGGTCACCAGAATGTCCACTAAGATGTAATTCTAACTTTCTTGAATAGAAGAAACAAGGATTTGGGACTGTTCATTTTTTGTCAACGTTTGGATGGTTGATAAAGAGAATTAAATGACACTTGAAGGATATTTATGTCTTTTCAAATGGCACTTAACAGCTGATTAACAGACTGGTTCATGACAGGTACTAGATTGGCACGTTTTGAAGTTTTAGTACTAAATTGTCATGTTCTAAAGTTCAGAGACTAAAGTAGCACTAAACCCAAAGTACAAGGTATTAATCTAAAATTTTCCCTTGTATAAAAAAAAAGATCCCTCAAATGACCTATTATATAGCCTTCTTATTTTTGGGATTTGCCTAGTTAATTTGAACTCATCAACCTGCTATGTATTCTTTTGAGACCCTTTGAAACTGAGACAATGGAAAGAAATGAAAGAAAAATAGAGGGCATATATATTGATTCATGAGATAGTGAGGATTATCTGATTGATTTTGGAGCTATGAGGAAATAAATTTGGTGGCCCAGAGTTCATATCACAATTCATAGCACATATATAGATAAAATAATTACGAACTATATCTGGGTTCTGGGATGAAGCAAGTGATATTAGGTTTTAGCAAGTAATTCATTGTTTAACAGTTTCAGTAGTGGCCTAGATTGTCTGTCAGACTGTTTAAAAACAACCAACCAGAAGTCCAGAAGGACCAGAACTTAACCCTATCTAGTTTCCGATTTCCCTGGTTCAATCATCGGGTTGGTTTTAAACGCATTCAACTTAGCAATACATTAAAACAAATCTGCACAAACCAAATCTGCTTAACCGGCCAATTTGAACCTGAAAAAACTGCTGGAATGGCCTAGAAAACTACACCATTAATTTGATATCCAAATGAAATTAACTGGGATTTATGGTCCCATTTAACCTAATCTGATGGCCTACTCAGCTCGGCTAGTTCAGTTTCTAAAAAACTGGTCTGGACAATGAGAAATAGTCTGGTGAAAGAAAAAAAAAAGAAAGAAAAAGAAATAAAACTCATATATGAACATTAGTACTCACCAATTTATGAGGGCATCTGGGTCATTTAAAAAGCCGGGGACTTGTGATCAGAAATAATAAATTAGCCATTTAAGAGTAGGTGGTTCATCTGAAATTAAAATTATGTTAGTTGTAGGGAATGGGTGGAGCAGAATGGAAGAAAAGGAATCAAGATAGCATGTGGTCCTTCATATGAATTGGGCAGTTTGTGATTTTCTAAAGTGAACCAGAAGGCTTAAACTTTTGAAGGCACATGTAGAGAGAAATACATTATTTGCATGATTACATTGTCTGGTAATATCATATCCTTCTCACTTCATCTAACCCTAAGAAATTGCAATTGTTTTATTTCCACATACCACATGCCCTAGTTTATATTCAATTAAGATCATTCCCTAATCGCTCCTTAGTGTAGACATCAGATACACAAGTCATGAACTATAAGCCCATAACCCCACTTAATTTCGAATAAATGGTGATTAAATCAAAAACCCTTTTGACAATTTATCTCTCTTCATGGACCCATAATTATTTTCTGATTTAATAAATGTTTTGAACCTTATCATCATCATCACCGACTGAAGATCAATGCTCATGTCGAGATGCGTATATATATATATATATATATATATATAACGATCAATTGGGAAAAGGAACTAGAGGTGGGTATAGTTGTATAACTTAATGCGGAAAAGTTGGCTACTAGAAGAAGAAAGACGTGATTAGAGTTACATCAGATAGACTGGCAGGAGTCCTGTATAAAGAGTGCATATGGTTCATGGCCAACTTCGTTCATGAACCTTTCTTTCAACAACTTGGTGCATGAAGATGTACTAACAATTAACAAAATTGCAATTTGGAAACATTTAGATTATTCCATCAGTCCTGTTCGTATATGACTATTTATATATCATTTATTCACAAACAGATACCCTCTGTGTGAGAGAGACAGAGCAAAATGTAATTATTTTCAAAACACGGGTTTGTCTCAAAGCTAATGTTTTCAAAAGGGGAAGCCATAGAACTGATTGTGGACTCGAAGGATCAGCCGACATATGACAATAATTTGGCAACAACTTTGTTAGGAAATTATTCCCAAAAATCATATAAAACAATAATCCCAACCATCCAATCTTGACCTACATAAGACATTTAATGATCAGGGGTTTGGCGGTTGAAGTTGTTGAGCTGAATGAAAATTTGGATGAAATGCTATATTGTCTACACTAGACTGGTCTCATCATTAGTTATTTAGTTGCCTCCGATGACATCGCGATACATGGCATGACAGGAACGTTGCATGATACTTCAACGCCACACGAACAACTACCGATCTCACTAATTCAAGGAGGCTTTGAGCACCTAGGGAGAGCGGCTAGCGGCACCTCGTCCAGGGTGACTTGTGGTATCTCGTCAGTACCGGTTCAAGTAGGGGTGATTATTTCAGTCCCGCCTGGTCCAGAAAATCCGGGCTTGGGCCTAGTCTTTTGTTAAGGTCCAACCCAGATATTTATAAATAATATATATACATCTTTATGTATATATATTATTTAAAAATATTTGATAATTGATATTTTATATATTAAACAGAGATTAATAGAGATTTGTAGGAGATTAAAGATTTTAATCCTACGGTCTTAGATCTTACCAAATTCTAATCTAGTATTTAATGAAATATAAAAAATAATAAACCCTAATTTTCTCAGCTCTCTCTCTCCCTCTCACCAATTTTAAATCTAAAGTTTAGAGTGGTTGAAAGTTTTGGGTAAAATTGAAACCATTTTTTACATTAATTTGAATTATTTTTTCTTAGTTTGCTAATATCTTTTTTATTTCACTTTTTATTTGTAAGAGTTGAATGGAAGATGGAGCCCCTTATAGAGATGTTTAAAGTTTTTTTGTGGATATTACATGATGGATGGTTATTTTTTGATAGATATTACAAGTTCTAGGTTGGTTTTTTGTTGATAGAATAATTGCTTTGTTAAAATTATCATTTTCAGCATACTAATGACCAATTGAAATTTATAAATTACAAGGTATAATTATTTAATTTCCTATATGTTAGAAGCTTTATCTCGATATTAAGTTTAAAGTTTCTTACAGGTTATTATAGTCTCCACGACAATAAGTGAAAAAAAGTATAATTGTTTAATTTTGGAACTGAAATACAATAATTAGGCCCAGGATCTTGGCCCAGCTCGACCCGGGCTTGAGCTTATATTTTTAGGCTCATAATGCGGGTCGGTCCCAAGCCTAGACTAAGCCCGTTGTTATGAAGGCAAAGCTTGGCCCGCGTTTGGCCCATGATCACCCCTAGGTCCAAGGGACCTCGGCATGAGGAGCGATCTCCCCCAAAGGACTTATCGACCTAACTAGGGTCCACGCAAAGTTCAAAGTATCGATATGTATCGGCCTGTATCGGTCGATACGTATCGTGCCGATGGCTTCCCGATACGCCCCTCTAGGGGTTGTATCGGGTCAACCACTGGTTCAGAGGGTAGCTGGGCCTTAAACCGACCCCTTTGAACCGGTTTTGAAAAAAATAAGTAAAACCTAAGAAAACTACCGATACAACCCTATCGATATTTTGGACCTTGGGTCTAGGTGGCGACCTACGAGACGTGTTCGCCAATCTCCTCTACGTGCATCTTATCACTCCCAGGTCCTCCAGAAGTCAGCACCCACACCGATCGTTTAGGAGGCAACCGGATAAGGTACAGAAGCCTATATAAAGGCTCCCCATTTTCTAAGAAAGGCACGTGCAATTTAGCATTCAAGCTCTCTAACTTTCTCTCGCTTTCTAGCTTTTTGAAAACTCCAATTCGCTAATTTAAGCATCAGGGTGCCCACACTAGGTAAAGCTGCCCGGGTACTATGATCTTTTCTCTCTTTCTTTATAGCTCGACCAAGCGACCTACCTATTGTGGTGTCCGAGCTATCCGTCAACAGGGAGTGTTAGATCGCACACCATCAATTGGTGTCGTCTATGGGAACATGCTACACAAAAGCTAAGTTATCACCCGTTCTCTAAGCATTAAAAAATTCCATCAACCAGGGACAATAGCAGTAATGCCTAGATCAAAGGAACCCTAGTAAGGGAGCTGAATCAGAATGACCATCCCGAACAAGCCTTATCAGCCTTGATCGCGAGGTCACCTCTACATGTTGAGCCCTCTGCAGC